TAAACATAGTAGAACCAGGCTGAAGCGGTATTATGGTTATAACATGAATGGGTTGACTCGAACGGGGAATGACCGCGCTCTCAAAAAATAAGAACCTAAAATAACTACTTAATGCTGCTGTTTCGTATCGTGAGTGTAAAGATCATAAGAACTTTTTTGCTAGAAGTGAGGCATTTCTTCTTAGTACTGAGGAGTGACGACGCATCTACAGTTTGGTTCTTAATCGAGAGAAGATCCGCTTACCATCAGGGTGACTACGTGCTCTTTTGTAGTAAAAGTCCTCATACTGTAAAAAAAATGTGCAACTATCTACTCATTATCATCCGTCCAGTCTTCTAAATGGAATTTATTCGTATCCAGTATTTACTTATGTTATATACTGGATACGGACAAGTACAATATGTACTGAACAGTGTGCAATGGCCGTTAGAGTAGACACTTATGAAGTCCCATATTTTAAAGACTTATGATAGTAAGGTCTATGATACAAAAGCATTGTTACAGAAGGTCTCTCTGATGCATAAGCATTATGATAGTGGAGCTGTGGGTTGTAGTCCATCATATTACTTCCCTTACCATAAAGTGCATCACCTCCTCTTCGCTCATGGTTTCAATAACACTAATAAATTATAATTTTGACTATCGGCTCGATAACTCAGTAGCTAAGTGTCTGGATGTGGCACAGAGAGGACGTGATTCTAAATCCCATAGGAAACAAGGTTTTATATGGCCTCTAAATACTTGGTCTGGATGTTTGTCTCTCTATAAGTAATAACAACAATAAAATAATTAAAAGTACTTTTTAAGTTGCAAAAATTAGTAAAAACTGCACAGCTGTGTTAAACGTTTTTTTGTCGCTACAATAGCTCGTAATAAACTCGACTATCGGTATTATACATATAAAACTCTCTAAGAAATCCGTTGTTTTGTTTTTAAATTGAGATGGCTTGCACGTGTAGATTCTTGCACAGTTGTTAGTTGGAGTCATGGATTTAATCTATACTTTATCATATTATTAGTTGCATAGCATGCGGAACAGATTATTCTTCGTTCCATTTTACGTGAACTCTTTATAACGTCAAAATATGCACAGTCCCTTGAGTGTCGTTAGATAGAGTTTACAATGTACATATATACATTATATATATGTTCATATATATATTTAAGTGTCACGTTGTTTGTCCCCGATTGACCCCTAAACTACTTAACCGATTTTAATCAAATTTGCACACCGTGTGGCGTTTGGTCTGGTTGGTTGGATAGTTTTTTTTTTACCCATGAGTGACCCACAATTTTTTTTACGAATTTAAGTGTTTTAATTGGACATGACAAAGGGTCGTCGAAAAGGGCAGAACAACGTCAGCCTGGCAAGCTAGTATATATATATATTAAAACCTCTATTAGCGAGAAACAGAAACCTCAACTATCACATATTATATTGAAAAATGCTCGAGAATGTTGATTAAGAATTGCAAAAGGCAATAAAAGTACAAAGTAGATAAAAGACGTGTCAAGTTGATTTTTGTTATTTACAAATACATTTTCCAAATGAAAAGTATTATGCATTATTTATTTATTTATTTATTATTATAATAAGTGTATAACATCGACACATTGCCATTAAATATACGGATTTAATTTACAAATAAAATTTAGTCCTCTATTTACAGATGTTTATTCTTCATACATTATGTGTCTAGTTACTAAGCATATAAAATAATAATATTTTTAGATCTCTTATAGCAAAATTATAAACAAAGATATACAATTAACAAAAGAATGTCAGACCTCTCCCACTGATATAAAACAATATTGGTGATCGATAACATGATGTATCATTGAATTAATAATTTACAGCAGATATTAGCGATCGCTTTCCATATTAAACAACGATGACACGAAAAAAATAATTTCATTTGATATTAAGATTAAAAAAAACGTTCATATATTTCAAAAAAAGTAATATACAAATGACTAATATTAGCAATTTATCTATTTCACATGTATATGATTAAAAGTTGGGGCTAATTTAGTAACGTCGCGATGTGTCCACCGAGTGTAAGCCTAGGCGCATACTTATACATTATTTAATCAAATATAACTGTTTAGATGTTTTTGATTAACTAATTGAACAATTATCGACCAACAGCTCATTCATTGTACTCCTATATTAACATGTATTGGGAGGCGCATACGCTCCACTAATCCGTAGGATCGATCCGCGGCAATTTTGTTGTGAACTAGCACCGTTGACTAGTACTTTCTCATGAAACTTATAATTATTAAGTTTAATTGATTTCTGCGAAATCCACTGTTCGATAGAGAAAACTAGTAAATTAATAATGGAATCAACTGTATGCGCACGACCATCGCCCAAACATTTTAATCATCACAAAATCATCATTAAGCACACAACTCGACTAAACAGTTTGATCGATTTAATGATTGGTACAATCGCGGTAGGTCTTATAACTGTGTTCCCTTTGTGTAAAGCATGTGCAACTACGAGTAGAAAGAAATGATTTTTTAATTATCTTTTGGTTCAAAACTTTTAAATTAAGAATGTGGTAATTATCTGATAATTTTGTTGAGGAACCTTAACCAGAACAGAGTAAAAAAATTTACTGTTTATCATACGCCAAAAGGTTATTTTTAAAATAAGATTAGAAATGTGAAGCCCCTGTATAATATTTTACCTACAGATTAATCGACAAAAGTGGACAGAGCAAGATCATTTTTATATAAAACAATAACCACTACGATCAATAAAAGATAATCTATGAAACTTATCAATATCTTAATAATCGTATCATTTCAAAGATCAGTCTAACATTCGATAAAAATTTACAACTTTAGTTTCTAACGTTTCATTCAGATTAAGGCTATCAGGTTATTTTAAAAACTTCATTATGTTAATTTCAGTAAGGAATTCAGTTTATTTCTTTTATAAAATTAAATAATACAAAAGACGTTAATTTGTAAATATAAACTGTAAAAAAAGAGTTGCCACATTATAATAGATAAATAAATACAATTTTAAAAGTTCTTGTAATCATTCACTCTTCAGTAGATATTGTAGTAATGTTTGATAGATTTATAATTCAAATAAAATTTAATTTGATGGACTGAATTTGTTTATTTAAAGGATAATACTTGGAGTAATAGTAATGGATAATACTTTAATGCAGTAATATTTCTTTATTATCAAGAAAGTTTTAAGTGTTTGTAAGAAATTCTTAAATTATATATAATATTAAATGATCGTCTGATTAAATGGCCTGAAGAAATAGACAAAAAAACTTAAACAAAACTAAAGAAATTTAATTATAATGTATTAGTAGGTATAAACATAGCCATACCAAATGTCCTACATCAAATCTTGTTGCGGGAGAATATACTATATAATATATAATAATAATATAAATAACCTTATCAGTGTATTAAATTTTGACTTATCGAAGTCAACATTTTCCATTATATATATATATATATATATATATATATATATATGTATATATATATATAAATTTATAAATAAAATATCTTTTGTACAAAATGTAAATGAAATTGATTCTATATATTTTCTCCAAAGCAAATAACGAGTAGGTACCTATGTCATCATTTCCAAATTTTACAAAATATAAATAATTATTCATATTTAGATGTGCCATTTGAATTCAAAATTGTATGGTAAAAGTACAAATGACGTTAGCTAATTTTATTTCACGAAAACATTATTATTTCAGATAAGTACATTATTACCTCGGAATCGGGATTCGAAATGGCCACATTATATAATAAAATAAACTTCATGACTTCGATCGCATGGTTAATACCTTACAATAAAGAAAGACCATGAAATTATTCAATTACGATAATATAGTCAGTGAGCAACCGTTTCTCTAACAAAATCGATTTCATAGATAGACGAGGAACGAGCTGCAACATTAGTATTATCATTTTTAGATAGGTACAGTACTTTACAGACGTTTACTCATGTTGCTTTGAAATGGAACATCTGTACACTCTAGGTACTGTCTAACGATGCAATGTGTTTCCATCTGTATATTTTCCAATATAATCCCAGTTATGACACAACAATCAATTGTAATAACTAATACAGATAACATCTACAATATCTACATTAGCTAAATTGTAGTCTTAATTATTTGGTGTAAAATCCGTCTTAATGCTATTTAATTCAAAATGCTGCCTCATTGATTTTCAATGTAGCTCATAGTCGCTCTGGAGTGTGGATATAGTAAAAACTAGGCGAATTATCACACTTTTAGAAAGATTAGGCATCAATTTCCATTTCAATTAACGTCATAGTAACTATCGATAAAATATCGAGTATAAATTGAAAATTCCTCGTAGTTTGGTGTTATTTGTGAGAAGTAAAAGCGAAAAAAAAACTGTAGTTTTTGAGACTCCAATTTAACTAGTCTTTTAAATAATTACAATAAATCACATTGAATTTACATTGTTTCTATAAAAAATAAAGGCAATATCGAAGAGTATTTAAGAAAAATAGGTCAATAGAATAAGTACTTATTAGTTCGTTTTTTTTTACAAAATAAATTGTATTACGAAAAAAATCACAACCAAAGAGATAAAATATAAAGCCTAGCAATTAACGAAGTTATTCAATAACAGAAGAACTGCATATCTAATGGTGTAAGATATCTTTATATAATTAAATAGCACAGCGCAGGTCAAGTACTCATCATCATCATCATATAATTACAGCAAGTAACGAGCACGCCCCCAAACTACATGCTTCCATCGACTTAGTCACACACTATAGTGCCAAATTTTCAATTACATCAGTATAGCAAAAATTTCGTAGACAAAATTGAAAATAATATTTGGTTATCTGGCTACGATGAAATATTCGAACGAGAAAATAATCATTGATAGTGTGTAGATGGCTTATTTTTGAAATATTTTATCATACTAATGCCCAAGAATAATTAACATTTGATTAACTAAGGGTTTTACTATCGGAAATATTTGAGTGCGGAGACCAAAAGAAACTTTTCTATGAAGAGGTCGGAGTCGAGGGCGGCTATGTGGGCCGCGCGGCCGACGAGAGCGCTGGCGGTGTGCGGCAACGCGTGCTGCACGTCGTAGCGGACTACGGACACATTGGAAGCACGTGATGCTAGCGGTGACACCATATTATGTACCTGAAAACCAACCAAATTATTATGTACTGATATGCTGTTACTAGGTAGAGGTGTTTGACAAGATAGTCATAAAATAGAGAGGCAAAAAAGTGAACTATCTGATTTTTACTTATTCTTTAAAAAGCTAACGTGAAAAAATAAAATAGTTGATGCATACCATAGATACGTAAAAATACTTCTCATCAAAAAATCGAAACACCTTCGTTTTAATTTGTTAAAAAATTGAAAAACCTAATTTAATACAAAAGAGTTTTCATTCCATGAAAAAAAAACCTTATTGTATAGCTGGTAATCTGGCCTTTACAATGGTAAGCGAAAATTCATAATTCGAAATTAGAATTTCATTTGTTTATCCTCTAAATGAAATGAATCACTATTTTGAGACGAGACAAATGTGCGTCTACAGTTGGAGACGTTTATAAACTAAAAATTTGCGTTTATCTTTAACGTTTTTGTTTTTAATTTGTTTACTATGACTTTAAGCCGTCTGAAAAAAGTTTTATTTCCTAAAACATATGGATACTTCGCCCACAGAAGCCGCCCAAATGGTGACATTGCTGGATTCTGGACTTAGTCAGCGTGTTGTGGCTCGAACACTGCATCTAAGCCTGTCATCTGTTCATAGAGTCTACAACCGCTATCGAGAGACTGGTATGTTCACGCGCAGTTCTGGATCTGGCAGGAATCGGGTCACTTCTGAGAGAGATGATCGATTTATTGTATCAACTTCTTTACGAAACCGGCGCCTTAATGCATTTCAACTGCAGCAGCAGCTTCAAGTTGTAGCAGTTTGTAAGGGTCGCTGTAAGTGACTCTACGATTAGAAGAAGGTTGAAGGAACGTGGACTAGAACCACACAAGCCAGCAAATGGACCGAAATAATGTCCATCGAAGAGCGCGCCTTGACTTTGCACGCGAGCACCTAAATTGGTCATACCTCCAATGGAGCAAAGTTCTCTTCTCTGATGAATGTAAAATCATGCTCTATGGTAACGACGGAAGGAACAAGGTCTACAGAAGAGATGGAGAACGCTTTGCAAAATGCTGCATTGAAGAAAGGGTCAGTTATGGTGGTGGTTCGTGGACTGTTTGGGGAGGAATCAGGAATTGCCGACGGTAAGACAGAGCTTGCCTTCGTGTCTGGGCCAGGTCTACCTGCTTTGAACTGTCATCGGTACGTTGAACAGTGCCTAGAGCCTCACGTGATGCTCTATGCACACTTTATCGGCAACGGGTTCACATTTATGCACGATACGCGAGAGCCCATACCGCGAGCATCGTACGTGATTACGTACGTGACCTTATCGAAGTCGGTATCTCCATAATGGAATGGCCAGCAAAGAGCCCGGACATGAATCCAATTGAACATCCCTGGGATCAACTAAAGAGGCAAATCCGAACGAGAGATCCTCACCCAGACTCACTTGACCAGCTGAAAAGTGCCATTCAGGAAGAATGGGACAACATCCCACAGCATGTCATCGTAACTCTAATCCGATCGAAGAAAAACCGCATGAAAGCGGTGATAAGAGCTGGAGGAGGAAACACTAGTTATTAAACGTTATTTAATAAAAGTTTTTCAGTTTTTTTTTCAACTACGTCTGTTGTTTCATTCATTGCCTTCGTTCTCCATACAAAATAAAAATGACTCATTAAAGAAAGCATGAAACCTTTGAAAACCTCATAAAACTCACTATTAAGCGACATTTGATATTTATTCGTAAATAATAAAAAAAAACTGATAATCCTTACAAAACATAAACTTGCAAGGTGTTTCGATTTTTTTGATGAGAAGTATACGAGTATATTTAATTTTATCGTTTAATAGCTTTTTCTGCGCCTTCGCCCGCGTAGAACAACAAAAAAACCTTTGTTCTTTGGCAAATTAATTCCAGTATAGAAAATACACTCAAGTATCTAAAAATATATCATAAATTTTGTTTTGATATTACAAGCTATGTTGTATATGAGAAAAAGATAAAAATAAAAATTGAAGATCTATTATTTTTACGTAAAAAAGTTCTAAATCATCTAAATCTTTATGAGATGAAAGATTAAATAATAGTGATAAAAGAACAGTTTTGTGTAAAATAGCAAAACAATTTTTTCTATATTTTATAACTTTTTTTTTTTTTTTTCCAAATCACCCTGGCATTATAGTAAGTTTACGATATCCAGTTATTCAAAAGCAATGTTAAAATAAAATAAAAAGTAATAATTGGATTTCGCCTGCATGCGGTGAACCCTGAACTGAACTGATTGACGTTCCGGATATCGATTGAAGAAACAATATCCATCCCCAAGAACGCTGAACCGAATTTTCACGGAACATTCCGTGAGAGAGTATTGTCTCACTAAATCTGTGCTCTCTAGCTTGCCCGTTCAGTGTGCAAGTGTAGCTTTTACTACTCGAACACGATAAAAATGGGATTTGCAACATGTATTCGACGACTATGGATACGTCCCCAGTGGGTCGTATCCATAGTCGTCGAATACGTCATACAAAGCGACAGTATAAAGTATAAAGCGACAGTAGCCTAATGGCAGGGCGCGGACCGCGAACTCAAAAGTTCGTCGAATCCGCTATTCGACTACTGGCGTGAACCACACGTAACACAAGCAATTTAAGCTTACCACGTGTGGTTAAGGGGAATATTAGTAATGTTTATAGCAGTGTTCTTTTTTTTTTTAATAAAAAAATACTGCAGGGCGTAGGCCTCTTATTTCTAAGAGGCTTACGATGCCACGCTGTAGCTTTTTATTGATATTGGATTACAATATCATGATGGGTGGGGTGGATAAAAAGACCAGATGCTATGTACCCTACGAGCGGAAACGTACAAGGGTCTGGTACAAGAAATTGTTTAGGAGACTTCTAAACGTCTCTGTATTAAATTCTTACATCATCCATCATTACTCTTCTTCTCTTACTCATCGTAATTTCCGTATCGCTTTATTAAAATCACTTCTTTCAAAACATTGTTCTGCCTCCCCGCAACCACCTTTAACCACACAGAACCGGCACATGGACCTCACCCACCGTCTGGCTGAACACCCGTTCGCTGACTACCGTCGGGTGTGCATTGTTTGCAAAAAACGGGTACATACGTTCAGTGTTGGTTGAAGCAAAACTGTATGTATTGACCCCTGTTTTGCCACTATGCATTCAATATATGTATATAAATATAACATAATATTAATTACATACTTTTATAATTTGTATGCATTTATAGTAGTAACAACATTGAAAATACTACAAATACATATTTGGAATATAATATATACCAAATATGTATTTGTACTAACACTATATGTATATGTATTTAACACACTCTTGGTCGTTTCTAGACTTAAGGACCTGCAGAAATGATGTTAAGCCATCTAACCACTGCACTGCCACCATTGCGACTATCTACTAAAGTTATTTACTTCCAAATCCTAAAATTTTTTTACTAACATTTTTTATTTTTCATTTTCGACTAATAAAAAATAAGACCTCTGATGAAGCAGCTTAATTTTTCATTTATTTTTATTACACTTCTATGTTCACACTTATATTTATTATTTTTACTCTTTATTGTACACCAAAATATTTTGTATTTTGGTTATTTTAACGAGTACAGTTATATCTAAAGTAGAGTACGTTTTAAGTTTAGATGCGGCAGTATTACTCGTATGTACATACTATTATACCATGTACTTGGGATATTTTGTAGTAAAACTATCCCTTTTGTTATAAATTATTCGAATGTTTTTGTAAGACAACATAACTATTTTATTTGTTGTTGTATTGGCTATTTGTATTCATCAAATTCTAGTATTTCAATTTATATTTAAAATAAATGCAACATAATTTGTTCTGTGATCTATACTTTGAGAGGTCTTTTTTTGCGTTTATTTTTAAGTGCTTGGTGTGTTGTTCGATTTTTGTAAACTGAGCACTTCTAAGGGCCGATTTCACCAAACTCAGATAAGTTTTATTCCAAGAGTAATGATATAAGTTATTCTAGGATATCAAATTTTACATTTCACCAACAATTTAACCCAAGAATAGTTAACCAAGAGATAAGATTTATACTCCCGATTTTGAAGGATTACGGAGTTATTCTTCGGTTAAAAATGGCCGACAGGCTATCAGCTGTTAATTATTTGACATTTTTAATAGTTTGTCGTGTACGTCCAAGTTTCTTGTTCCTGAATTGCTGTTTGATTAATAAATTTTTAGTTTAATTATTATTGAGAGTATATAGCTATACATAATGCAACGTTTGAGAAGAATGATTAACAACAGTGACAGTGATGATAGTGAAGATGAAACATATTATGTTGTAAAACGTCCAAGGTGGATAAAAGAAAGGAATAATTATTTTTATGACTATGATGACGAAGACTTTAGGATAAGATTTCGGTTATCTAAATCAGCAGCTCATAATATTTTGATCAAAATTGATCATTTGGAATTTATATCTGAGAGGTGCATTTTTGTACCTATTTATACTGTTCGTAGGTACATAATACGGCAATTAATTGCTCTAAAATAAAACTGTTTTGGTTTACAGGAATCAATCAATTTCGCCGATTAATCAGCTTTTGGCAACACTAAGGTTTTATGCTACCAATAATTCACAATTAACAATCGGTGATTTTAGTGGGCTCAGCACACCTACAGCACACAGAATAATACATAGCGTTAGTGCTGCCATAGCGTCATTGAACCACGAGTACATAAAGTTTCCGAATACTCGACGGGAAATTCGGCGAAATCAAAGGGAGTCTTTATACAATCATTCACTTGCTCATTCAAATAGTCTTCCACAGATAAGTAAAACCGTTATTCGAAAGAATAGTTAATCTGAGGCAAACTAATCTGTTGTTTTGCATGGTGAAATGTACAGTAAGTTATCTGAGAGTAAAAGTACGGAATATCTTTATTCTCGGGTTAGTTAATCTTAGACAACGACGTCGTTGGTGAAATCGGCACTAAGTGTTAAAACTTTGTCTGTGATAAGAATGTGAGCCGTACTAGAGCATAAATTATTTACAATAGCTACTTCTTTTGCAATACTCTCCGAATTGAAGCATTTTACCTTATTTTTTGTCCGGCGCTCGGGTCGCTTAAATAAGACATGTATGTAGTGTATATGTATTTTCTTGTAGGGCTTGTGGTGTGAAAAAATGTATGGGGAAGTGTTTTATTTGATTAGGTTAATGTTAGAGAATGTATCTTTAAGTAAAAAAAATATTTAACAAATAAAGGTTTGATTTTATAATTATAACGAATTATGTACAATGAAGTAGGTAAAAAAATAGCTTACACTAATTTCAAAATCGAATTGACAACTTATATCACAAAATAAAACTGTCCTGATTTGTATGTAATTTGTTAGCGTATTTCATAAAAATTCCAACGACTTAAGTTTTATAAATAGCTCTCATACAAAACTTTATTCGTAGAAATCGTCAGTTTAGTCATACGTGTTGCGATCGCGCGAATTCCTTCAGAAGTGGCGCGACAGATTCGCTTAGTCGAGGGTTTATGGCTTTAGCACCAATATGTTGACTCGACCGGGGTAGAACAACGCTATTACGGAATACCAGCGTAAAATAGCAGCTTATTGCGATATTGTGAGTATAGAGAACCGAGGACCCCATTTTCTGGAAACGAGGCATTCTATCTTAGTCCACAGGGGTGACAACGCATCTGCACTTTAATTCTTAATACAAAATAAATGTAGATGTCTATGGGCCACAGCATCCTCTTACCATTTGGTAGACTGTGTGCGTGTTTGTAATCCTTATACTATAAAAATAATCGTATACCGCGATGCTCCAACGCTTGTTAGCGGACTTCACACATCATATCTTTGAAGTAGGTGTGTATATATTTCTCAGATACAATATTTATTCACTCGTAAGTTAATGTGAAATGAAAATTTAACAGACTCCCTAATATTTTCACAATTATTCTGGGAAATTCTGACTGCCTCTTTGGTCTAGTGGTTGTAGTAGTACGACTACGGATCATGAGGTCCTGGGTTCGAATCCCGGGTCGGGCCAAAAAAAAAACTAATTATTGAGTTTTTCCGTCAAGAAATTCTCAATAGCTGCCCGGAGTCAGGAAGTTGGCGGTGTCTCACCCCCGTGCCACGGAAAGCACGTAAAGCCGTTGGTCCTGCGCCTGATTTCTCTCCGGTCGTGTCAGTTTACCATCCCATCGGATTATGAGAGTGAGGGAATAGAGAGTGCACCTGTGCTTGCGCATACACTTGGACACTATAATCCTGTCCTGCGCCGATGGCTAGCCTCCGTTGAGGCAGGCCACCGTAGCCGAAATTCGGTCTGGAGGACATTATTATTATTTTGGGAAATAAGCGCTTCATTTAAACAGAAGAAGACATGTAAAGTTCATCAACAAGCATTGGGGTAGTGCGGCGGAAATGAGGGGAAGCCTGTTCCCAGCTGTGGGACATATATAGGCAGTAATTTCTTTTATTCTACGTTCACTTTTTCGCCACATGCTTCGTCAGAACCCCGTATTTTATAGTCAGTGATGAGATCCGGATAATCAGGTACCTAATGAAAATAGATCGACTATGCGGACGGAAGCAAAACAGGTTACGTAAATTCTTTTTCTTTCAGGTAAACGCAAGTTCTTTTAGGTAGGTATCACTGTCAAATACTACTCAAATGATATATAATTTAGTTAGTATTTTGTGTAAGTAATTAAATATTGCTTTGTGTTATTTAAATATCAGGTACAATGGGACTAACATGTTGAAAATAACGTAAGTCCCTAAATCTAAAAAAGAATAAAAAAAAGTTCTCTTAGGTAAACAACCCATCTAGTAAGACTCGAGAGTAATGTCCTCCAAACCGATTTCGGTCTCGGCGGCCGATCTTAACGTGCACTCCCTATTCCCTCACTGTCATAGTCCGATGGAACGGCAATCCGACACAACCGGAGAGAGAACAGGTGTCACGACGGGCATCTGTGTTATGGATTCATATAACCCTTAATCCCATAGCCAATTTATATTAATAAATTAGGTCAAAATACATCCTTTCATATTCTTATGCGGCGTATCGTTATTTCTAGTTATTACTTAAAACTTTAATTTGCGATTTTTCCTTCCGAAACATTTTTTGATGTTATCATATCATATCTTTACGTATGATATCATATAATTTATGTATTATATTCTATACGTGGCAGAGCCACTCTGCGGATATATTATGGTTGTACCACGAATGGGTCGGCTCGACCGGGTAAGGACCACGCTCTCACAGAATACCAGCGTAAAATAGCAGCCTAATACTGCTGTGTTTTGTATGTTGAGTGTAGAGAACCGGTGAACCTTTTTACTGGAATCGAGGCATTCCATCTTAGTTTTCAAGTATGACAACACATCTGCATTTTGATTCTTAATCGAGGTTAAAATAATAAAAAAAACCTTGTCCTATAGGAGCCGTGGTAGCTCAGATGGTTAACACTCTCTGTAAATATAACAGAACGCCGGCACCAATGCAATTGTTAATTGTTATTTTAAGTGTTGATTTACCACGTGCTCGGCGGTGAAGGAAAACATCGCATCGTGAGGAAAACTGCATGTCGGAGGAAAAAGAAAAAAATATTTCGAAGACATGATGTGAAGTTTGCTAACACGCACTGGGGCAGCGTGGCGGACACTTCCTTGCCCTAAAACCCTCTCAGAAATGAGGGGAGGCCGGTGCTCAGCAGTGGGACGTATATAGGCTGTAACTTTACTTTACTCTTGTCCTATAAAATGTATAATGTAATGTAAATAAAATAATTAACTTATTTGTTACAGTTACCATTTCTCTATAAGCTTGACCCAATAACGAGGTGTCTTTGGCGGCAGCTTTGCAGAGCTCCAAACGTGCGGAATGTAAGGGAACGTATCTGTCTTGTCCAGAGCCACACAGGAGAATATGCTTAAATTGGTGCAGCTGGCTTCTTTCACTGAGCCGGTAGAGGAAAGAGTGACGAGGGTCGGATGCATCGCGCAGTGATAACTGGAGTAAGGAACCAGATTTCTTCCACTTTTGCATGAACCACATACCTGAAATGGATTTAGTTTACTTTGCAATAAATTAATAGGGTTAGGATATAATTAAAAAAATAAGGAGGTAGGTGGGTTATTTGTAGATTTTTTTTTGGGGGGGGGGCTGTTTTTTTGGTGTAAATTTTTTTTTTTTTTTTTTTTTTTTAAATTATTTTTGTTTTTTATTAGTAGCTTTTTTTTTTTATTTTTATTTATTTTATTAAAAATTATTATAATAAAAAAAAATTTCCTCCTAAAAAAAAATATTTAAAAAAGGGGGGTTTTGTTTGTTTTTTTTGTATGTTTAAATTTTATTTGTGTCCAATAAAATGAGAGGTTAGAAGTTACTTTATACATAAGTGTTATTTTGTTTTTTAAACATAGTGTACACTTTTTGTGTGTAGTGAATAGTGTGTGTATTATACTAAAAGGAGCAATTGAAATGTCTTTAAGCTTAATAATCCCTTTCTACAGAATTTTTATCCTGTTTTAATTTCTTAAAATCTTTTTTCAGAAACTCCTTCAATCTCAGAATAAAATAGAAATCACTAGTTGTGAGGTCTGATGAATACGGACAATGCTCAAGTAATTCAAATTCTGGAAGTGCAGCAATCGTAACGGCGGTTTTGTACTGGGGCGTAATCTAATTCCATTGTTATGTTTTCACCATAGCAACCTTTACGAGATTGCCTTGTGTAAGTAGCGTTTTCTCCTGCATATAGATACGCAAACATTCTAGATACCCATGGTACTCTGCGTGCGGCTACTTGTTCATGCTTAAGCGTTCATATATGTACACTAACAAACGAAGTCTTTGTTTCTTCACAATCAAGATAACGATCTGTGTTGGCGACGCGTCTATAAGAATATTTCAATTTATTAGTTAACCGATTACGAACAGCTCCTAAAAACAAATTATCGAGAAATAATATTCTAATAAGAAAACACTTAGTTGAATCTTAAAGAAATATCGAATTAATAATTTGAAGGTCTTGGGTTCGATTCCCAGGCCGGACTAGTTTGTCGTTTTCTTAGTAATATTTTCTTAATAAATTCATATAGGGAATTTTTAAGATATAAATTATGTTTCCGGGTTCAGTTCCCCGGTTGAAATCACCTTTCCAATAATATTGTTAATTTAAAGGAATATTAAAATAAAGTTAGAGACCAGGATTTGTTCCCCGGTCGAAATGATCACTTTGTGTATAAATATTATAAACGTAAATTTCAGCAATTCATGTAAAATTGACTTGTAAAATATTTCAGATTGACTGTATGAGCAAAATAGGTGAATTCTGTGTGTGAAAATTCCTTTGGTTTGGTGTAATATTGATAGTTTTGTGTAAGAAATTTAAAAGTGTTTTAAATAGTAAAATGTAAAGGAAAAATGTAAATTAAACTATTGTATTAGTTAAGATATTTATAATTTCAAATGAAGAACATTGTTTTAACCTTATATGTTAGACATATAAGAATTCTAACTTAGTACATACGTTGTAAAATAGGCATATTTTGTTGAATAAATAAAAGGTTTTTTGTGATATAAAAATGTAATGTATATCATAGTATAGATATTTTTGTGCTATCTTTGTAAATAAAATGTATAAATGTATGTCTTATACAGATAAAGATATTGGGCAAACCGTAAGAGTGATAGTAAAAATTGATGTAATTAAGTAGCGTAATCGCACAGAGGGCGCGGCTCTCTTTCGAGTATAGCTTTGTTGATACCCCATTAGACTGGTTTTCATACAAATCCTTTTTTTTCATCAAAAAAAGGATCTGACCTAGGTGTGCGTTATTCGTAGTTAGCAGTGGCTGCAAATAACCGCCGGTTCGACAAACTCCGCCGATCGTTGAGTCCCGTGATTTCGTGAGGCGTCGAGGTCACCGGCCCCTAGGTGATTCTTGGCACTATATGCGCTCCGTGCATCCTGTGCCTAGTCGCGTCGTAAAGTGCCACCTCCGCACTTCCCCCAACCCTTTTGGTTTAAAAGGGGTAGGCAGTGCCCACAGTGTGGAAAGTCTCTGTAATAGTATCACCACCATTCCGCGTCGCGCATCAATATCTGCTGCCGATCGTTTGGAAGATAGATAGGGCCTTAAATAAATTACCGCTGACGCTGACTGTTAGGTTAGGGATATGTCAGGGAACGATAAGGGGGAACCTCCTCCGAGATCGAGGAAACCACCGGACCGGCCAGGCGTACTGGATATACCCATCGCCTACCGCGATATTTTCAATCCGGAGAGGATGAGAGTCGTCTCATCCTACTCACAAATACCGACCCGGAAACCTTCGTCGCCGGGTAAGGAGTCCGCACCTAGGGTTGCACTCTCGCCCATCGTACCTGAGTGTACGACTGGGCGTGAACCGCTGCCCTCTCAGCAACAGCGGCCCACGAAGACGCCACGAAGGCACACACCACCCGAGACCGAGGCCTCCCTCTATGAGAAGAGGCAGCGTGTTGGACGATCAGAACCACCATCAGCATCATCTGATGACGAGGAGCCCCAAACAGCGACTAGGAAGAAGGTCCACACCTCACCTCCTAGGTCGCCATCACCACCGCAACAGCCACCATCCATCTCTCCGGACCGACGTAGCCACGACTCGGCCCAATATGAGCAAGGGGTGAGGAGTCCTACAGCTGGGGCTCAACAACGTACGCAACCCTAGCTGCATCAGCCGGAAAATCATCACCAGTACAAGCCATCAACCCGTCCGGGCTAGCTCACGACGATGGACAGCGGCCGTCAACGAGCTATGCCCACATGGCTGCGGCCCCTGCAGTACCACGACCGCAAACGGCGGAGGAGTCTCAGAAGACAGAGAAGGCGAAGGAGAAGTCCAGATATCCGCCGATTGTTGCAGAATGCCTCCCGGATTGGACTAGGCATTTCAAGGTCCTCAACGAGAAGTTGGGCCACCCGCCTAATGCCCGTCCATTCGGGAAGGGAGTTAGATTTTCTCCGCAGAGTCCGGATGAGTTCCGTACCATCCAGATGATCGAGGAGGCTATCCGGGCAAAAGGCTTCCCGATAAACTATGTCAAGGCCATACCACCACGTAGAGGCAGACCGGGCTGCCTCTACTATGCACAGCTGGAGCATCTGAGCCTGGAACAGCTTCAGCAATTATACCACATCGACGAGCTCCTCTATATGAGAGGAGTCGTCATCGAAGCCTGGCAGAGGAAGACCGGACCGGCACAATGCCACCGTTGCCAGGCTTTCGGACATGCCTCCGCAAACTGTTTCAGGCCAGTGAAATGCGTTCGCTGTGCTGGAGAACATATTGCCAGCCTTTGCCCAAGGGGTAGAGAGGAGGAACCAAAGTGCGCAAATTGCGCCAAGAACCATACGGCCAACGATCGCCGCTGCCCGGTCCTGAGGAGGATTGCCAGGAAGCAGGGGATCGTCTTACCTGGGCTACTCCCGGAGAACCCTAAGAGGACCCCCAGAGTCGCCCAAAGGCCGTCACCATACAGGAGGACGGGTGGGCAACCATCACCAGAGGGAAGGGTAGGCAACCAGCCCCCCCCACCCCCCCTGCAGCACCAATAGAAACGGTTGGTCCCACAGACCAAAGGGCAACCACCGGGGCGACTCTCCGACCTCCTGCCAATGACGCCACTGAGAGGCAACCCTCCCAGAGGAAGAGGCGGAGGAATAGGAGCAGGAGAACGGAACAGCCTCCTCCTCAGGCTGCGACTACCTCTACCCCCACAACCACAGGACCAATAGCCTCGCAGGCGCAGGTTGCTGTAAGAACACCAGCACCATCCACGACAGGTAGAGCGCCAGGAAAGGCTCTACCAGAAAGTAGAGCCCGCTCCACACACAGAGCGCGCTCTACCCAAAGGAAGACCTCAATCAACGCCCCGAGACCAGTGCCTTCACAGCGTAGTTCAGAACGCAGACCACCAGCGTCCGGCTTCGAGACGGCTGATGCCATCCACAGATTGGTAGGCATAGCCATCGAAGTCGGTACACAAGTCCTGGCTGACATAATGGCCGGGGCAGACCCCGTTACCGCCGTCATGAAGGTACTGGCATCGCTACTGGCAAGACACTACGGAGGATAGCAACCTGCGTCTGCTTTATTGGAACCCGGACGGGATTCGCCAAAGGATCCATGAACTCCGTACTGTCACCCAGCAACAGGACATCCAGGTGATCTTGCTGGGTGAAACCAAATTAAGACCTACAACGCATCTTAAGCTCCCTAACTACACCATCTACAGGAGGGACGAGGTCGATCCTCAAGGGGTCGCTTATAGAGGGACAGCGATCCTGGTGAGGAGAGACATCGTCCACCAGGAACTGGACCTGCCAGACTTCCAGACGATGCGTTCAATCGGCATAAAAATGGAGGCGGCGGGCGAGGAACTAAGGATCTTTGCAGCATACCGCCCGCCAGGGACTCCATTTAACTCCTCAGACATCCGGACGGTAATGGAAGGTACGGCACCCACCATCATCGCCGGGGACCTGAACGCCAAACACCCGGCGTGGGGGTCCAGAGTGATCACCCCGCCGGGTCGTGAACTCTACGAAGATGCGGAAAACAATGATTACGACGTTCTAGGTCCCGAGGAACCGACGCACATTCCTAGCGACCATAGGAAGCATCCGGATGTATTGGACATCGTGCTCACTAGGAACGTCAACTATCCAGTAGTTGTAGAAGTGCTGTATGACTTGAATACACAGCACCTCCCGATTCTGATAACCCTTGGCACTAAGGCAGTGACTTCACCGCCCAGAGCCGTCAAGACCAAGATCGACTGGAGGCTCTACCACCAACACCTGCAGGAGAGACCTCCAGTCCATACGCCGATCAACTCAGCGGACGACGTAGAGGCCGCTGCAACTAGAATATCCACGTGCATCCAGGAGGCCCTCAACGCGGCCTCTACGATCGTCCCTCTCACGGGGAGAAAAGAGGAGCTGCCGCTAAGACTACGTGTGCAGCTCAACCATAAAAGAGCGCTGAGAAAGCTCTGGGCGCGTAC